CGCAGCTTGAGACCACACTCATAAGTGAAATAAATCAATCTCGCATGTGTGAATACCAAATAGTTTCCCTAATGTAAGTAATGACTCAAATATATAAAAATATGTGGTAATCATGATTCCCCATTATGTGGCCTTGAAGCCTTATAAAGTTTTCACTTATTAATTGGAAAGGCTTTATTCTGGGCTTCTTGATATGGAAATATTTGAAGCTATAGTATATGAAGTTTTATCCAAATATTTCAAGGAAAAAGATAGACACTATGGTAACTACTATTAAGTTGGGTTATTTGGTGGTGAAGCGCTAGATTGCTGAAACAGTCATGCTTTTGACCTGTATTGTTATATTGTTATGTCCTGTTTTATCTCAATCTCTCCTTTATTCTTTAAAAAAATTATTTAGTTATCTTTTATGTTTGTTTTAATTAAGGGGAAAATTTAAAAAAATTAGCAGGATATATAATAGTAACTCTTTTTGATTTCCTATTAACTTGTTTTGAAGTCCTGTAATACTCCCACGATCTTGTTTTGACTGATTAGACTCTGTTCCATTCTGTATGATAGTATCAAGTTTGAGGGTATAGGCAACTACTTTGAAGGCAATAAGATTCACTAAGATGCCCATTCTGGTTTGACTATTGTCTCCTTTGGAAGTCCTGTAATGTTTACAATGCCTAGGTTTTATTGGTCTTGTTCTCTACTGTTTTGTCCAACTTTATAATATCTAATGAGATAGACAATTCTTTTTAAGGAAACAAGAGACATCGTTGATAACCATTGTTGATAACCTTGTACTCTGTTTTACATCATGAGCTATGTCTATCCTTGGTTTTGACTGACAGCTTTGTTTTGCCATATTTGACTTTATTCTCTCCCCCCCAAAAAGTAATAAGAACTAAGGAGTAATAAAATCCAAAATGTGTAAATTTTGTTGTAAAAAAGAGAGGGGAAAAAAAAGAGCTCTAATGGATATAACAGCAAGTGTGTTTAGGGGTGTTAAATAGCTGACTATATTAATGTCTTTGGATCATTGAACACAGCTCTTTGCAGTCTCTCTGTTTGAATGTCCACTTTGTAATCTTTGATACTGTGATTTGAGCAACTATTTCTAAGATGATAATATGTAATCTATTAACAGGTGATTTCTTACTGGGGTTTTTTTTTTTTTGTAGTTCTGTATTACGTGTATCCTTACACCGCTTTGTTTTGTTTTGTATTTTTCTTTTTCCTTTTAAATAAAAAAAAGAGCTAATTGTTAAATATATGTGACAAAGATTCTTTGCATAGTCAGACATTTTGTTCCTGTTTTCAGGGATTTTGAGGGGCATTATTAGGGACTGAATACAAAACTTCTGCACTAAGCTATGTCCCCAAACTTAGTTTTCTTTACATTTTGAAACAGGATCTACCTAAGTTACAAACTTGGCCAGGCTGGGCTTAAATTTTTTGTCCACCTGCTTCAGCCTCCCAGAGTGCTGAGATTACAGGCCTAGTCAGATTTCATTTGTTTAGTCAGGTTTCTGAACCTACCTTTCTGCCTACATAAATTTTGTAAAAATTGAGTTTTTAAAAAAAGTCCTACTAAATCAGTTTAGTTCAATATCAGTTTCCCCCAGTATCCAGTCAGGTTCCTCATCCTGTACCCTTTGGGTCATGTCTGATCACCTGGCCAGTCTTTTGCTACAATCTTGCTAAGTCAGTCTGTCCCACTCCCCGATCTCTTTACTTAGTAATTTTCCACTGCTGACCTCAGCCTGATTCAAGGCTAAAGTACCCACTTGTCCCTGCACTATTCTGATTGAGCTCCATCCTCTTCCACTGCAGGACATCACTGCAGTAGCTCCTGTACTATGATGGTCTTACATAAAGTTGCTTTGCTATTCTTTAGAAAGTATCACTATTTTCTTTAATGATTGTGGGCTGCTTGCTAAACACTTGGTGGTTTGAAATAGGATGATGACTGTGAAAATTGGTAAACGTGATAAAGTAGGGTTTCTCCCCTATCCACATACCCAGATAACTGGTTGTAATATATACTTTTTAGCATACTGGTGCCCAGAAAGCCCTGAGGAGTAGGGAGAATTTGAAATGGACCTTGAAAATTGGGAAAAGAAACATCTTGCATTTCTGAACCAGAGGTCAATAGAAAATAGAAGGTTAAATTTTTTAGTTCTTGAACCTTAAAACTAACCACTCTGTGTTAAATAAAAGTAAGTGAAAAGTTCCTGTGAGTGAGATATTTTGATCTGAGTAAGAATTTTTATTTTTATTTCCAAATGGAAAAAAAGAATTGTCTGAGAAAAATTTTAACATAAAGATACATTACCTGTATACCATTGCAGCATCCATGGAATTCTAACACGTAACTTTTGAGCATCTATAACCTGGTTAATTATAAGATTTCTAGTGCCTTCTCAATTGTCAGAGCAAGATTACTTTCTGCCTCTTGTTGTTTGATTTTTATTTATTGTGTCATATTATGATTCTTTGTAAAGTGTGTATAATTATATTTTTCCTTTTTAAGATAAAATTTTGCTAAGCTCATATACTGCATTATTCAAACATAGCAAACAACATAGCATAGGCATGGAGAATATTCTAGGTTGTGTTGTATCAGGTTGTGGTATCTAATACCACCAATGCATTTTCCTTTTTAAGTCCACAGTGTAATTGAGCCTTTAGCCTTATCATTCTTTATCCCTGAACAAGTCTTTGGATCATATTCTGTCTTCCAAACAGCAATTTTAACAATATGAATTGTTGAATGAAGAATAATTATAACAGTATTATATCAAGACAAACTATTCTGCAACTAACACAAAAACAAAATTTCTAAAGGCATACAGCAAATTCAGAATTCTGCTTTGAGGAATAATTAGGAGTTAGAGAAGGGAGTAAGAGAGAGTTCCAGTAAATGAGGCAACATTTGGTGATGTTGTTGTACGATGAAGCACTCACTGTTGTGTTAATTGTAGTACAAATAAATTTCAATAAGATCCAGTTGGCTTAAAATAAGACAGGATAAGATCAGAGTCAGACAGTAGTCACATCATTCAGAGTCTCCCTGGGAGCCTGAACTTTTTACCAGGAGAGCTCTAGGACCTTGCAAAGGATTGGAATGATAGAAGTAGTAACATTGTGGGTATGGAAGGGAAGAGGCTCACACAGGAAGCTGCATTCAGGGAGCAAAGGAAGTGATCCCTGATTGCAGAGATTCTGCACTGTTGCCAGAAGGACCTAGGATTCTGTTGAAGAGATTTTAAGGAGGAAGAATTTTGGGATCTCAGTGACTGATATGAGGATTGAGACATGAAAATGAATAAAAAGATTCAAAGGTTTCAGGGCCCACTGACTGAACAGAAAGTGTACCATTTGCCAAGATAGGGAATGTAAGAGACTTTGACCAGATGTAATCACCATGCTGAGGTAAACTTACAAACTGCTTAGAATTCCTTAAGTTCCTTATTAACTTGTAATATTTCAGTAATAACATAGCTCCAGCTCCCTGCTCTCATGATGGTTAGTTATAGGTATATACTACTCCCAGGTATAAGTCAAACAACATAAGACTGAGAACAATTAATATAAATCTATGTAATTGTAAAGAGCTCCATGGCAGTCAGATGTGTTCAGCTGATGCTCACCTGAATTGCACTGTTATATTGTCTCTTTTCATACCAGCTAGGGTATTTGTGAGCTCTTATTTCTCAATATAAAATTATTATTTTATTGATTAATTTTTCATAATAGCAATGCAAACAGATGACACTACTATTTCTAATAGAATGAACCCAGTAAAATTCAATTTTGAGCCCTTGGGCTTTTGTAGATTGTCATTTTGTGAACACTGACATTCCTCGTTTTAATGGAAACTCCGTATCTAGTTAGAATATGTGTACCACAGCCATAATAGAGATTTTTTTAAAAAGACACTATCCATCCAGAATTGATGTAATGTCTATTTTAATGTAACAGTATTTGTTTGAAAATTGATACTGACTTTAAAATGTATTGCTTTACTTAATGAACGTGAACAATATTAGTAAAACTTGCAAATCATCTAGATCTCTATTTAGTAGAGATCTATTGGGTTTTTATTCTACTATCTCTCATCTAAAGCTTATCATCATTTGCACCAATTTTTTTTATCACTTTTGCCTTATTAGAATACATGTTTTTCCTCCAGTTTGAAGCTGTCATTTTCAACTGAATCTACAAATTCTCATCCTATTCTGTTTCAATTCAGACATACAATAATCTGTTTTACTTTGGCTCCAACCTTTTCCTTTTTAGTAACTAAGTTTAATAACTGTTCCACCTATGCAAAACTCCCCTGTCAGACCCAAACCACCTTCATGTGTAATCTTGTTTTTTTTTCTATTTGGAGCCATTTTACTTGAACTAGTAGTCTGTACTCACTGTCAACATTTTATTGCATCTATTTAATTTTTCAATCCTTAAGATTTCTGTTCCCAATATTTCCCTGAAGATATTTTTATATGGTTATTTTCACCAAATCCAGAGGTGACAAACTATAGCAGAAAAGCTTGGGTTTTCCTCTGTGATGGAAAGCCACTGTAGGGTTATAAACAGAGTGATGTGAATTATGATTTGCCAAAGTTTTTTTGGAAGGTGAAAGTAGGCAGTCAGGATGACCAGGAGGATGCTTCTCAATAGTATTTGCAAGGCATGGTGATGACTTGTACTGAAATGTTAGCAATGCACATGGTGAGGAGTGGTGAGATTTCAGGGGCTTTTAAAAATAGAATGGGCAGGATTTGCAAGTGGAATAGAGGTTGAGCATGAAAGAAAAGGAGACAAGGGTGATTCCAAGATTTGATAGAAGCAGATGGGAGAAAACCAGTCAATACTGTGTTTCCATCTTGAGTCATTATGAAGGAGAAGCAAAAACAAAGACAAAGACAAAGACAAAGACAAAAACAAAAACCAAAACAAAAACCCACTAAGCTTATTTTACTGATCCTGGTCTTGTGTCCTTTTAGATTTTAAGAAGAAACCAGAGAGAAGATGGGGAAGGAGTAGCCAGTGAAGGAGGAAAACCAGGAAAGAATGATAATCCAGAAAAAATGCTTCCAGAATGAAACCCTAATGAAGTAAGATACACTATAAAAATTAATCCCTAATTTGTGCTGTGAGTGTGGGAGGAGGAATCAAGGGAGATAAGACATTGAAGATATGGACAAGAGAGATTTTTAAAATGGAATGAGTTCAAGAAAGAATAGAAAGAATGGGAGGCTACACATTGAAAACAGATACCGCCTAATAGTTTTTGCTATTAGGAGAGCAGACAAAAAAGGGAAGAGTTGGAGGTACTAGTGAGATTGAGAGGTCTTTTTAAATGTACTACACAGCGTGTTTGTGTGCTCATAGAGAAATTCCTTATTTGGGAAAGAGGTGATAGAACAGATGGAGCAAAATGTTCGAGAATTATAAAGGAGTGGAACCTAGAACACAAATATAAGTTGACTTCACCTAAGGGGACAGGGAGTCCATGCATCACAGCAGGAGAGAAGGCAGCTCACCTGAGTAGAGTCATGGGTAGATTGGTAGATAGGAGGGCATTGCAGTGATTCAGGCAGGCTAGAGGGTATGCTTTGAGAGTGACTCCTATTGGGCTGGTTGTGTGTTTTCCTTAGCAGAGCTGGAAGCCTAGAATGGAAAGGATGCTTTATCAATATTCTCCATTTTCTTGTTTCTTATAGCACACAGTGACTGAAGATGTTGGCTGTTTGCTTTGAGAGCAGTCCTGGATGAGAGCTGGTGATTGCAGACAGACAGTACTTTCTGTGGAATGTCTGCATTCCCTACCATTCAGCCTTATCTGGCAGGCTAGACTTTGACTGATGTAGTATTTTAAGCATGTGTCCTATGCTAACCTGGCAACCATTCTGTGCAAGCCAACCATCATTGCCCTTTACATGGATTTGGAGACCCTCAGAATCCTCAGTCAGCAGAGCTTGGTCTGAACTGCATTAGCAACCGTCTGCCTAGGGACTTAAATACACATGATGGAAAAGGAGGTACATTTGAAGTCTCTATTAAAGGAAAGAGTAATATTAGGAAAGGGAGTACCTGGGGAAAGAGTAACATTTTGATGTAACAAATAAAACAAGTCAAAATGTCCTCTCTTACTCCTAAAAAAATTTATAAAGTAGATAAGGCAAGATATCAGTGTATAATGTATAACTTCTGTATGTAGTGATATTCTCATCTCTGTAAGCTAGCATTAAACATAGTAATTAGTTTATGGAGTGGTTTTGCTTTAATACCTGGAACACATTTGGAATAATATATGACAGAGAGCAAAGCTTAGTATGTATTAGAAAACTGTATCAGTTGGGATTCACTTAGAGGAACAGAATTAAAGTCTAACATATATATAATGATATTGGCTGCCTGGAGAGTCAGGGTTGAAGGGTTTAGAAAGGCCATTTGCTGCTGAAGAGTCAGAGGATTCAGTCAAAAGTCAAAAGCTGGGCACTCGCTTTGGAGTCCTGTATGAGTCCACACTGGGAAGTTGAAGGTCCACCATGGAAGGCTGGAAAGTCCCTACTGGAAGCCTGGAGGTGGATGTCCAAAGGTGATGGTGAAAACTGGAGCTCTGAAGAAGCAGAAGCCAGACTTCCTTCTTTTTTCCAATTTCAGTCCATCCACACTACAAGCCTATTGGTTGATATCATCCATGGCCAGGGTGGGTCTTCCCTCTCCAGTAAGTCAGTCATCCAAAAGCCATTCTGTTAGTATTTCCTATTCAAATTGACACCACAACTATCACAAACCCAATAATGATCAATTGTTGTTATTTTATTTTAGGTGGTACTGGGGGTTGAACTCAGGGCCTCATGTGTGCTAGGCAAGCACTCTACCACTGAGCTACAACCCCAGCTCCAATTGTTATTATTTTATTGTTGTGCCTTGACTTGGGCTGAGCTATTTCCTGTTTCTGTGCCTTTTTTTCATACTGTGAAGAGTCTCATTTAAATCAAGAACAGAAATTAATAAGTTGATGAATGTGGTTCTTGTAGGAGGCTGGTGCCTGTATCCACATAGCTCATCATGGATACGAGGTAGAGGGAACACCGGGGAGTGGGCAGACAAGTGGTCTGAAGCAGCCAGAGACAGCTCAGCCAACCCAGCCATGCTACTTCGCCTTCACCAGCTTTATTTTTTGGTGTGTGAGGGACAGAAAACCCTTGATATTATTAGCAGAGTCAAAAATCAACATATATAATGTATATGGAATAGTGTTGGGCATATAGAACATGTGCAATGATATAAAACAGAGATCATTAATAATTATAATGAAATCCCTACGTGGGCAAACCCTTCCCCTTCCTTCCCATGAACAGAGACACTCTGCACATTTTTGTGACCAGCCAGACACCAGTCTCTACAAGAATCCAGATTCCCTTGGTTTCTTCCTCTGGGCTTCTTTTCTCTTTGTTCATACTTCTATGGAATCATTTCTTCCCTCAATAAATTTTGGATGGTATATTTCCTTGTATGTTCATCTCTTGAATTAGATTGACTTTAGGAGTTTTAAGTACATGTATGAATCTCCTCACAACTTATCAGGAAGGCTAAGATGTAGTAGGCATTCACAATATTTATAGAATAAATTGAGAATTTTTCTCTACACTTCTAAGCAGAGCATTGATGTACACTTAGCATCCATTTATCTCTTTCCTCAGATTTTATTAATCTCAATTTTGGGAACAATACTCTCGAGCCAGCAGACATCTCTTCTGGAGTCCCACCCACTTAAGCGCCTGGTGCAGCATAGTGTCTTGTATATCAGGAACAGACAAATTAAATTATCCATTGTTATTATTGTTGTTATTATGGGTGTCATCATAATTATCACTAGCACAGATACAGTGCTCTGCCTGCTTATGATCCAGGGAAAGAAGGACAACATACACAAAATATCACCAGGGCACAGTGCAAGACCAAAATTCACCATCTTGTATTTCACTTTGGAGCACAGTGCTGGCATACACAGAGTCAAGATGTGATCACTGTTCAGGCACAGCAGAAGGAAGCGAGCTGCACCTGCGTAGTTTCCGCTACTTCCTACACCAGCTGAACAGAGTAATCAGAGAAGTAAATGCTCAGTAAAGGCGTGCAAAAGAAATGGAGCCTACTTCCTTGCCCGAGATAAGGTAACATGCTATAAAAATGTACACTTAGAACTCTGAGGACAGGTGCTAGCCATTGGATTTCCAGTTACGAAAGAATCTCAGATGTGGTGGAGGAAAATGATGGTGAAAGGGAAGGTCAGCCAGGGGAGGACCCTTCAATCACCTAAGCTGCTGCTGGGCTCTTCTGCTAACACTCATTTTATCAGTAGCCAAGAAGAGAGGACCTATAGCTGAAACACATGGCATTGGGGTATAATAGTATTAATAGTAAGACAAATAGGTCCAAGTCCTGGCTTTAGCATGCATTAGCTTTTAAAAAATTTTTTTAAAGTTACTTAACTTTGTATTTGAATTTCCTAAGGATGGCCGAGAGGATTAGAGATGGTGTAAGTAGGCACTATGTATTCACAAACCGGAAGCTTCATCATCAAAGACTGTCCGTATGCCTCACACCTCATTCTTTTGAAGCACAATCAAATCCAACTAATCCTAAACCAAAGCAATTTTAGGTAGCATGGTTTGGATATAGGCCTTCTGAGAATCTTTTGCCCTAGATTGACATCTCATGAGATAGGGGAGTTAAGGTTTGTTTCTATTCTTGATCTACTTGCTGTACTCTGAATCTTAGTTTAGAAAATTTTTGTTAGGGGCAAGGAGCTGGGGAATGCGAAGTCTACGAAGTCCAGCTTCTACTGTGGAAAGGGCATATATGCTCAAGGGCAGATATCCCACTGATAGTGGGGTAGTGTCGCCATCTTCCTACTGCGAGGACAAGTTACTAACACAAGTGACTCACACCGTGTGACTCCCCAGGCACTCATGAGAGCATAAGCACACGGACAGCTGTATGAGGATATGAAAGAGGTTAGAGAAGGACTGAGATTTAAGCAGAATATTTTGCATGGAGCAATTGCACTCTATTTAGGCTTAAAAGATGAGCAACATGAAGGTAACTGCTGGGTAAACTAGAGCTAGAAAAGAAGGAAGTTGGAGAGGGAGTTAGCAAAGGAACAAGGAAAAAGAAAGGAAGAAGTCAATAAAGAGGGAGAGAAGCATTAAAAGTGAAATTAGAAAGTTGCTTGGGGAAAAGAAGGAAAAAATCGTTATTACTTAGGGATGAAACTGAAGCTACCAGGATGACCAATAAAAAAGGTTAAATTTGTCAAATATATCTAGAAATCAAAGGGTTCTGAAAGATGTTTGGGAATATCTTATTTAGCAGTGAGATGCTTTTTTTTATGAGTTTGATAAATTCATGGATAAACACGTACACAAAAGTGCATATAAATTCCAACTGTCTATTCAAATACATGGAGTTCATAGATTGCCTAAAGCTGGTCTGTGAATGTCCTGCTTTATGTATTCACACAGATTATTTTGATGTAGTGGTCATATATTGATTCATACAGAATATTTTGAGACAGGTCTAGAGTTATCTCAGGGAGCTCTGAAAGTCAAAAGGCTTACTAATATTTTTATTTTTTAGTGGCTTCTCAGCTTCATGATAGTCACTTTAAAAATATAGCTGTGATTGCTTTTACTCATATAGTCACTATATTGATTGTTATTTTAGAAAATGTTGTTAGAGTTATAGATGCAGATGCAGATGTAGATCTAGATAGACAAATGACCCTAGAGTTTTAGGTCAAATAAAAGAAGTCTGTGACTTCAAATAGTACAATGTACCATCTGAGATTTAAGGGAGATTTAAGGCTGGTGGCAGAGGTCTATGAGAGCCTTGTTGGTTGATGGTTGTTTTTAACTGTCCATTGGGGAGTAAGGAACATAGAAGCCTCCTTGCAGGAGAGGGTGGAAGACAGGAAGCTTCAGGACGGCAGAGCTCAGGAGTACTGCTGATTAGGAAGCAGCTCATGTAGGGCTTGGAGTGGTTCGATCAATCTGTGCTTCTTGTCCCCCATAGTAGCAGGCATCTGTCAATTGTACTTTCTCGTGGGATGGCCCTTGTCCTGCCTGTCATTCCCTGTGGTCTCATTCTTTCTCTTGAACAGATTTTGCTAGCTCAACCTTTTTATTGCTGCTTTCTCTTCCACACTTTTGTCTTCTTCCAGTTTTTAATAGCTGACCTTATTGATTGTCCCCAAACTGCACTTGTGGGTCTGAATTCCCATCACTTTTTTTTTTTTTTTTTTTTGTCTTTCTCATTTTTATCGGTACCGGGGATCGAACTCATGACTGCCTGTTTGTAAGGCAGGTGCTTATGCCGCTGAGCTAAATCCCCAGCCCCTCCCATCACTTTTGATGGTGATTGTTATGTTCATTCTGCAGTAGCTGTTCCTGGGATCTGTGTTCACCCTAGTTCAGTCTGTGTGCAGATGTCATCACCGTGTATCTGGCATCTGTCAGAGCATAATAGTTTCTTCTTCACTGCATCTTATAGTTTGACAAAGAGTGACTCATGTACATGGCATTTGACTTTCACAGTGATTTTGCCCATTTTACACACAGGACAAAGGACACCACAGGTCATTTAAATGGTGCAACATCTTAAATGCAAGACCTTTGACTCCATAGAGTTTTTGGAAACCATCAAAGAAAAGGAGCTAAGAGCAAGGCAGAAGGAATATGAGAACTGACAAGTGAAATAATGATTTCAGAGAGTTACAATATGTGTGTGTGTGTGTGTGTGTGTGTGTGTGTGTGTGCATGTGTGTAATAATTTTGATTGGGCCAGCATTGAGGGGTGCCACAGAAGAAGAGAACGGGGAACAGAGGCAAAGAGGCAGAAAGTTCTCCCAGGACAGGACCCAGGTACCAGTTCATTTGCCCATGAATGCTTGACCCTATAAATCTCTGCCATCAGAGGAAAAAGGTACTGGCTTCAGCAGTGTGTTGGGAAGGCACAGAGAGAGTCCTCTAGCTGCCCCCTTTCCTTCTCTCGGGCCCCTCAGAACTGTGCTGTGTGTGCTGAACATCACTGACGACTCTGACATGCTGCTGAATGACAATCCCTGAATCCTCAGGGCCATTGGAAAGGCATGGATTTCCTTAAGTCCTCTTTCTTTTCCTCTGTGAACTCATCAGCACAGGGCCTCTATCTGCCTCAGGCATTGACTGCCAGAAGTTCTAAGCTGACTGCTACTCTGCTCATCAGAAAAAGGCACTGTGGGATTTTGGATAGTGCTTACTCTGGCAAACTGAATGATTAGTGGTTCATCCTTCGGAGAGTTTGCTGAATTAAGGATTCCCAGGCCTCATGCATCAGAAATTCTGAATCAGAATTTTGAGATGGGGCTTGGAAAGATACACACTTTAATCAGGCTTCTCAGGATACATAGATGCAAATGATCTTCAGGTTATGCAAGAGAAAAGCTGTAATTCAGTTGAGACTTGGTTTATTTTCATGAAGTGGAATAATGGGATTTACTTCATTAGGTTGCAAGTCCCTTGTGAACAGAGACCACGTGTCTACATCCTGCTGTGTTTCCCAGTAGTGTCTTATGCAGAGAAGGTTAAATTCTATTATCCACAATTCTGAGAACTTCTTTGCTGTTCTTAGCTGGGGATCGAAGAACCAAACCTGGCAGTGGCTCTAAAGATGAAGAGGAGACAGGCATAGAGAATGGAGGGCTTTTACCATGCTGTCCCTGGCATATAGTAAGGAGATGATGTTAGTTTTCAAAATATCAAATTTTGCCTGTGCTGCTGTATTTTTATGTGAACGTTTAATGTCTTTTCAGATGAAACACTTAAGTCTTAATTTTCTGGTGTCTCCTGTGATGTTTAACTCTCAAATCATCAACCAACCCTCTCTCTGACCTAATCTTATTTCTGAAGTATTTACTCAACTCTATTAAGCCTCCTAGCTAGTGAATTCCCATTATGTATGACTTTATACCAGGCTTCAGCATCTTCTGTGCCACCTGGAGGTGAAAGATTCACTTTGTCACATTTGGGGAAAAGTATTAGGTGAATTCTTAGTGTCCTCTGTGTAGGCTTTATGAGTGGTGGAAATGGTGCCACTGACCTTATGGAGAAATGGTGGCTGGTAGAGTGTCTGACCTTTGGTAGTCATGTTAATCTACCATAATTATGTTTTCTGGGACTTGTGTAAATGTCGTGGAAAACCCAGCTCTGTACACAACCCAGCAATTATTCATAGTCTCTTGTGCTACCTAGAAAAGAGATTGAGTACTTCAGGTAATATCCTCACCCATGTTCCAGATGAAGCCAGGCAAATTTTGTCAGGTTTCTAAGGCAACCTTGAAGATTTATCATTTCACAGAGCTTGGAGAAGAGATTCAGAGCTTGGGTCGATGATGTAGACCTTTACTTCCAGAAGAAAATAGATTATATCAGGGAGTCACCGGTCCAAAATAAAATTTTATCTAAG